TGTTTTCGCTTACCCGCCCTGCTGTATGCAGCAGGTAAGGCGACCCGGCTGATGGCACCACGCGACGGCCGATGTGGCATGAGAGTATTGTTAGTTATGTAGGTCATGGTTGTCAGGAAGAAACTGGACCTTACCGTGGTGTGGCGGTTTGTGTACCTCGGAGACCCATTGAGCTATACTGGGGGTGTCCGCGCGACACTCACAGAGTCTCTCATACCAGGTTGGTCAATGGTTAGAGGTCTGACGAACACAGTCTCCTGGCCCTACAGGTTGGGGGTTGGAACATGTATGGCGACTTGTTCCGTAGAAAAGGTAATGGATTTGCATTTCCCCGCCAAAAACCTGTGCCTTGCGGTTAGGCTTTTGAGCCAAAGGCTTTGGTTGGGGACCCTAATCGTCCTCCTGTCTATGTGTGGGCGCCCTGGCAGTATCCCAGCCCTCGTACAACCATGACCAATGTTGGCACAAGGGTTACGAGATAGGGTATCAGCAACGCGGTTATCTGTTCCAGGTCTATAGACGACGCCGTAGTTGTACGCTGCCAACTCGATTTCCCACCGTTCAATCTTGTCGTTCTTTATTTTACTTTTCTGTTAGTTCCCGTACATAAGGGCGACCGAATGTTGATCCGTAATCAATTTAAAATGTCTCCCGAGGAGATAGTGGCGCCATTTGCGGATCGCTTCGACTATAGCATATGCTTCTTTTTCAACAGCAGAATGATTTTTCTCGCTTGCAGTCAAGGTTCTGGGGAAAAAGGCAACCGGCCGGCTACCCTGGCTCAGGGATGCACCAATAGCGATGTCGGACGCATCAGTTTCAACAACGAGAGGAATATTGTAGTCGACAGTAACCACCATCGCATTTTTTAGTTCATGTTTAAGGTTCCCAAACGCTGTTCGGGCATTCTCCGGGAGCGGAAATATTTTGTTTTTAACCAATGGATGAATTTTGTCAGAGAACGCCGGTATCCACTGTGAATAGTAGGCAAACAAACCAACGGCTCTTTGCTGCGATTTCCCGTTCTCTGGAAGTGGGAGTTCTCTTATGGGGCGCATGCGTTCTGGGTCAGGTCTTATAATACCTTTGGAGACCTTGTAACCTAAGAGAGTAATCTCTTCAGTTGCGAAGCTGCTTTTCGTATCGTTCAAAGTAATATTGTATGTTTTTGCGACATCGAGAAAATGCCTAAGATTACGGTCATGTTCATCTCTCGTTTTGCCGCATATAGTGACGTTATCGATATAAGCGAATGTGTCTTTTACCTGTTCGGCTTTGATTATATTGTTCAGCGTTCGCTGAAAACACGCGACCCCGTTTGTCACTCCAAAAGGAATGCGCCGAAACTGGTATAGGTTCCCCCCAGCTTCGAACGCTGTGAATGGCTTGTCTGACTCGATTATTGGAACCTGATGATATGCACTCTGGAGATCCAGTGTGCTGTAGACAGTGTAGCGTGCGATGGTTTCAATCATTTGGTCGAGCCTTGGTAAAGGATAAGCGTCAAGGTAGGTGAAGCGATTGATTGTCTGGCTGTAGTCTATCACCATGCGTCTCTTGTGATTTGCATTGCGGGTAACGAGCACTTGTGCTCTCCACGGAGAATTTGATGGTTCGATTATGCCATCGGTAAGCATTTGGTCTACTTCCGTTTGTATGAATTGTTCATCTTCCGGTGTATGACGACGAGATTTTGTGGCGATCGGTTTGTAATTTGGAGCAAGATTGGTGAATAAGGATGGAGATTCCAGTTTTGCGGATGTTACGCCACATACAGTTAGGGTACCCCGTTGACCACCGAATGGAATTTCGACTTTATCATGTAACCCCAGAAAGTCATGTCCGAGAAGGACGTCTGCACAAAGGTTCGGTAATACACAAAGTCTGAAACGTTCGTATATAGCATCCTTGTACTGAATGGACACAAGGCAATAACCTTTGGTGGAACATGAATGTATCGTCGACGCCATTGTTATCACAGAGTCGTACGGAAATAGCTCCCAGTTATGAGTTTGCAGGATTGATGAAGAAACGAAACTTCTGGAGCTGCCGGTATCAATGAGAGCTCGGACAACAACGCCGTTGACCAAAATATCTGTTGTAGTTTTGGATAGGCAATTGGGAGCAGCAGCACAAAATAGCGAGGAGATTGAGGAGTCTTGAGCTGAACCCGCGTGATATTTCGAGGCTTTGGACCTACAGACACGTTGAAAATGTCCAATTTTTCCACAACTCTTGCACACTGATTCTTTAGCGGGACACTTATAACGAGGGTGCTTGGGGTTGCCACAAAAGTAACATGTTTGTTGTGTAGCGGCCGAAACTGTTGTTTCGGAATTAACAATGGGTAAAGGAGTAGATACCGAACAAGTAACGGGTTGTCTGTATACGTATGATTGTGACTGTTTTTGTGCAAGTTCGAGAGCTCGCGCGGCTTCATGGGCTTTGTCAAGGTCCAATTCATGCCACGTTAGCAGTTTCTCCCGAATGGTATTCGACTGCAATCCGGTTATCAGAGCATCCCGAACTGCTTCGTTTGTATGTTCCACAGCAGATACTGCTTTGAATTCACAGTCTTTAGCAAGCGATTTCAGTTTTTGAACGAATTGGTCGACATCCTGACCAGGTTCTTGTTTGTATGTGGCTAAAAGATGGCGTGCATACACGATATTTTTCGGGCGGATGTAAAGTTTTTCCAGCAAGGTTATCGCAGAATCGTAGTCGCTGCATTCTGCGATGAAGTCATACACTGTATGGTCGATGTGACGAATGAGAGTTTCCAATTTATTTAGACCTTCGGGTTTGACTGAGTTAATGTAAGCTTTGAAAGTACGGAACCAATGAGTCCATCGTTTCATGCCATCTGATGAGTGAGGATCGGCATCAAAAACCGTAGGTCGGAGAATATGATCCATTTCG